TTTTGTATTTTATATTCGCATGGGAAAACTGACGATTTTTCCCAGTCCGGCTACCGGGGGTCGAACTATCAGAAATTGTTCTGAGTACTCAATCAACTGCAAACGAATTGCTTGGCTGATACCGAACTTGAACCAGGACGAGGCTCATTGATTGGCAGGTGTATACGACGAATCAGCGGGATTCTGTCGTCGAGTTTCGGTAGCAGTCTCTACAAGCATTACTGATGTAATATGCTAGTTTTTAGACGTCTGCGAAGGGTACATTCGAAACTATTTTCAAAGAAAGATAGAAGATTTGTTGTTTTGACACACTGGAAAAAAAACCACATTGGATCTAGAGTCCAGACTTTTGAAAGCATTGACAAGAAAAAGGTTTTTGATTCAATCAGGTATAAGCCTAAATCAAAAGGAAATCCGCTCAAATTAAGAGGCTTGGTTTTATTTAAGCTTAAATCTGATTGAATCAAGAATATTTTTTCTTGTCGATTTTTTTAAGAGTCTGCATGGAGTCTAGATCCAATGTGTGTTTTTTCCCAGTGCAATGGAAGAGTTTTTTCCCAAAGAGAATATGTTCATTTTTAGATGAGCCATACGTCACTAACACTATCATGTGGCCCAATGATCATCTGAAAATGAACATGTTCCCTGTTAGAAAGTATTCGGTTCCCGTTTTACATTCAAAGATGAAATGAAGATGCTTGGTCTTTTTTCATTAACGCCATTAGGGGTTTTTCTTTTGCCTGAATCACATATGAATCGCGTAGGGTGCATTAAGAGGTTTTTGAGTTCTGGCTTAAAAGATGCTTTTTTACCAATCCACTTAATTTCCTGTATACTTACTGTACTTTGCCTGTTTTTTTCGTATTGGTTGACGGTCCTTGTAGGATTGAGCCATAGTCCATGGAGTCAATTTTCATAACAGAATTCACACCAATTTTCATCAATTTCCCAAAATTATAGATATTTCCCATTAGTCAATGAAAATTCAGGTATGAAACGCATTTAATAAAAATTTGTAAGAAATTGGGGCCAGAGTAGAATCAATCATGGGATGGGTAACGTTTTTGTCAAATTATCTGGAAATGTTTCTCGTTGAGCCGCAGTGGAAAAGTAGGAATTAATATTATATTTCTATCTTTCTCAAAAGCAGGCTCTCACCAACCATTCCTTAGGTATGTTTTCTCCATCCACGTGTGCACCTGGCCAATTTTTCCATGCCCCACGCTTCAAATACTGCGTCCTTATCCCAAGGGATCCGTCCCCTCCTTTGAAACAGTTTCTATTTGTAGGGCCTAAGTCCAAAAACTCATGAGTCCAGGCTCTCGTTGATCCTGCAGGACTACAGGGCTCATGAGTTTTTGGACTTGAGCCCGTCTAACAGGCTAACTGAGGAATAGTTTTGACATTTATTCACCAGTGAATCAAACGGTAATCAAGAAGATTTTTCACCACGCGTCTGCACTAATGGTTCCTTCTTTCGTCTGGGTCCCCAATATTTTACAATTTTGAACGTCTTAACTAATGCGCGTTTTCTCTGCACAATGGGCGTCCCAGTCAAAAGGTCATGCGTTACCCTCTTTCAATCCAAGACCAACCCCCCTCTCGTATTGTTTGGACGTATTTATGCCAAAAGGAACTATGTCTCACGCAAGCCACATGCACTTAGTTCCTTTTAGCGTAAACGCGTCCATTTGAGTTCAAAATGGTTGCTTCTTGGCTACTTTGTAATCTGTAGGCGGCGAATGGTGACGTCTCAAGCTGAGGCCATATTATCTGCCTGTCTGGACCCTTTCTTGTAGACTTGTGAAATACTTGTTTGTTTGTCATATTGAATGGATTCAAACTTTTCAGTTTTAATCATTTCTCAGTTGTGTTTATTTCATGATTTTTAGAATTTGATCGTGAGGGCTGCATACCCTTGACAGGGCACTAAATTGGTGACTATTTCTTCCTTTGTGTTCGTCAGTATAAAGATGGTGATCTTCAGTCGTTTGGAGCGGTACATACTTGCTAATGCTTTTCGGATAATAAGTTCTTTTTATCGATGAAAACCACGTTTTCTACGCAAAATGCAATGATCATTAAATTTAATTAAGTAATAATTTTAGACTTTGTTCGATTTTGTTTCCAAAGTTCGTCATTTTAGTCACTTTGAAGTCACAATACAACAATTATACAAACTATGTCTTGATCAGGTTCTAAAAGAACGTGTAGTTTTAATTTCAGAAGAAAAATTTACGCGGAAACTATGTTTACATTGAGGAAGGTACAGGGGACTACGATTTTATAGCGATCTGAGGAAATTTGGCAACGTCGAATTATCCGTAACTGGTTCTTTTCGCAGAATGGCTGCCGAAAGTATATTAGAAGAGAAATAGAGCCCAGGAAGTTAAATCGATCGAAGCTGTAGAAATTAAGTGCGCTAATTCAGGATTCGGGCGCCTTCAATTCGAGTGATACTTCCAGCTTTGCCGGGAAGTTCGTTTAGTTGCGTGACCTAACTTAACCCAAGTGCCTCTGTTGCGATCGGTTCCAGAGGTTTGTGACCCAACTAAAGCAACGGCACAATTTGTTCTATCTTTCCGGAATTAATTGTTATGCATTATTTCTCCTGAGGAAACTCATTAAATATTCTAGGAGTTCTCCGTCCATTTTAGTGTCTTACGTAAATGCTTCTTTCGGCTCCTGTTTGATAGATTTTTGTGAAACACGTTGTCAGGGTATTTCTTAACGGGAAACTCGAATTTTCAGTCAAATTTCAAAATCCAAGATGGTGAGCGTGACCTAAAATCCAATTTCTGCTTCCATTCAATTTATTTCTGTGAAATTCCGTATCGGAGTGTATATTTCAACTGGCAACGCGAATTTTAGTCCAATTATTCGAATTCCTGAATCCAATATTACAAGCGTGGCCTAAAGTGCTGTAATGGGTTTTCCAAACGTATCTTTCTTTGAAATCTGGATTTGTATTTGTTTTCTGTTCATTTTCACTATCAATTTACCGTCAGCAGCAAGGTGCAGAAATGGTGCTGGTTCCATTAACTCTAGTGAGTACCAGTACAAAACTGAGAGTGTTCAGCTCAGGCACTTTGCATTGGAAAATTTGGAATTTTTCTCATTTACCGTCAGCTAATGTGGACCTTGACATGGGCGCACTCCATTCACTTATTTGCATCGCAACTTTCGTGTGTTCGTTTTGCCTATCTTGCAAAGTGAAGGCGTAATACCATCTTTACATTCTTTCAGAGTTCTTTCGCTGAACAACATCGCATCTGAAATTTCGTGTGTACCCCATTCCCAATGCTAGACAGTACAACTGATCTTTCTAGGAGGCCACCCACCGAGACTGCGCGTTAACGCTCGTTACGCGATGTGTGTAGTCCGTCATTACGCGTCTCACTCAGCAAGTTCGCCGTAGGTCAAAACCTCGCAACCGCCCATGGTATTCAGGCGGGCGTTAAGAGGTACGTGTAACGCGAAACCCTGCGTTGGCACGGTGAATGATCAGATGCAGGAGCAACAGTATAACGTTTTTATGGTTCCCATAAACGCGTGGCTTATATTTATGATGACCGCGTGCTTTCTTGGTTGGTGTAGGTTAGTGTCACGATTAATTGAGTTTTATCTTCGGAGAAAGGAATCTCCGAACTTCGCGTGTTTCTCAGGGTTTCTGCCACCGACAGCTTAAGCGTATCTAGGAATTTGGATCGCCATTTAATGTAGCAACTGAGATGTTCAGTTCCTCGCGCAATTTGTTATGAATGCATGTCTATCGCTAAGGAACAGTACCGCCTATCTGCGAACTGACGATTTTACAGGGCAGAGAAAAAACTTAGCCAATTTTGTAATTTTGAGGTTTGATTTGCAATTATAGTATGTTGGAGTTTCTTGCCAACGTGCGTTCAAAATTCAGTATAAAGCTGATAATCTCAATACAAAGGGAAAAAGCTCATTCGAGCACAGTTTTCCCTCAAAGATATATGCTGTTTGGTGCAACACTAGAAACATCCATTCAGGAAGCCAACTGCAGACGCATGCTGTGCTGTCTTACGACCCGTGCGTCCACTACAATCAGCTAGTGTTTTGCAATTGTTGTAAAGGTTGATTATCTCGTCACTGCAGCGCTTTGATACGAAATTGGGAAAAAGTAACAACATCAGCTTACGCATTTGGACCGCGTTTAGCAGAAAGGATTCAAGCCACATCAGTTATTGCCTTTGATTGGACATTTCAAGTTTTTACCAGTGTACCCTTCTGCGGATTCCTGCGAAAATATTAAGGGATTTGCCCAGCACTATGCGGACAATTCATCGGAATTTGCGTACAAATCCGAGCAACCGTTTTCATGTTAAACATTGAATTGCCCAATTAAATTTGGCAATAGCTAATGTGACTTGGTTCCTTTCTGCTGAACGGGTCAAGTATACATTTTAGAATGCCGCAAAGTTGCCAACTCATTTCGGTCATAATTGTCAGTTAGTAGTACCGCCTTTTTCCAGGTGATTCCCAATCCCAAACTCGTTTGGGCAACCTCTCCTTCGGCACTCTATGTGCATGTTCATACCGCACTAACTGCCGTGGACATGACTCCGTGTACGATATGACTTTTAGCCCTTATCACCTGGCGAATACTTTCGTGAACAAGGTGTCTACAAGTCCGGGAATAGTACTGATTTTTTAAGGGTATGGTCCGGAAGTACCGAAAAAGTGCGGAAATTCAGCAAGAAGGTCCGGAATTTTACCCATTTTTTTGTCATTTTTGTCGCAATTTGAGCGAGGAATTCAAATTTTTGAAATTTTCCGAATCTCGTCAAATGGAGGTACTAAAAAAGTACCGAATTTTTCTATCGAGGAGGTACTGAATTTCGTGGGAATGTACTGTAAAAGCACTGGCTAGTCTGTTTTAGTAGACACCCTGATGAACGAAGTCTAGCTTTGTATATGCATGCTACTACATTGTGTTGTGGAGTATGCCTAACATTGGTGGTTTCTGTCCGCAGGATCGTTCCCGGGAGTGGGGATGCCCGGCATGGCTGTGAGCTCGAACCCTTTGGCCGACTGGGCCGGTCAGGCGACGGCGCGGAAGAAGCGGAAGCCGTACTCCAAGTTCCAGACGCTGGAGCTGGAGAAGGAGTTCCTCTTCAACGCCTACGTCTCGAAGCAGAAGAGGTACGAGCTGGCGCGGACCCTGAACCTGAGCGAGCGGCAGGTGAAGATCTGGTTCCAGAACCGGCGGATGAAGAACAAGAAGAACTCGCAGCGGCAGCAGGCCCAGCAGAACAACAACAACAACACGTCGGCCAACGCCAACCACCACGCCCACCACGGCCACGCGCACGCCCACCCCGTCACCCACCACGTGAACCACCACCCCACGCCCAACGGCGCCCTCAAGCACCACCAGTGACCTCTGCCCTTCTCTGGGGCGCTCCTCCACAACAACCACCACCAGCACTACGCCGCCTCCTAAGCGCCCACCCCCGCCCAGCGGGCTCATTATCGAAATCGATAGACAAAGCTATAGACAACGAAGGAATTGAGAGTATGAAGCGATCCTATTGGTTGAAACCGGTGGTCTTTACAGACGAAGAGGTAAAATGGTAGACTAACTGTCGGTTCTCTTGTCGGTTGCCGTGAGTTAGTCTATTATCCACCTCCTTTGTCCATAACTCCACGCTTCCACCAATGGGATCTCTGCATATCCCTTTTATCTTCTTTCTCTATAGCTTTGTCTATCAATTTCAATAATCGGCCCGCAGGGCTCCTGGAGCTCTGTCCAGATTCATTTCTTTCTAGGCCGTCATCCGGAACTTGCTGTGAGAAGTCTTGCTTCTTACAGCCTGTGTCACACTATCGAGGCTAGCCATCAAAATATCAAGGTCAGGAGTTGTGATTGGCTTATTCCGTGACTTGGACCAATCACAGCACTCGACCTTGACATTTTGATGGAGTATTCTGAATATGTGACACAGGCTCACCGCCTCATTGTTGAAATTCTGGGTTTGTTGGGCAGATCACACAAGACCAGCGGGCTGATCATAGAAATTGACAGACAAAGAAGACATAGGACATAGAGCGATCCTAATGGTTGAAACGGGTTGGTGTCATAGACGAAGGGGGAAAATGATGGACTAACTAAAGGGTCTCTCATGGGATGCTATTAATTTGGCCATTACTTACCTCCTCTACCCGATGCATCCACCCGCTTCCATTAACATGATCTCTTTTTCCCCCTTTTGCCTTCTTTGTCTATCAATTTCAATAATCAGCACTCCGGGAGAAATGGAGCTATTTGATTCGCTCGCTAGGTTGTTCAGGTGACAGAGGAAGTCGCTAATTGGGTTGAGCAATCGACTAGCTAAAGGCACCTTCTCCCTGGCTGGTCTGCCGTGCCTAGGAAAAACGACATATGAGCCTTTAGGCGTTACCGTGTTTCTTTCGATAAAGAACGAATTTGCTGGAAAAATTCTGCAGTTTTGCTTTTTTCAATTTTTCAAACGATTTTCTTCGGAATTCAATCTAATGTATGTGAGAGTTTAAAGGAAAAAGATACATAACTTCAATAATTAATATTTTACGTGTCAGATTTGGCAACGTCCAAAGGTTCATAAGGCGTTTTCTCTTAGCACGGCAGTGGTAGCCAGTCGATTAATCGGCCTGATACGTAGTTCTCAGTCGCCCAAACGACGTAGCCGACCAATCTTACAACTCCATTTCACCTGATTCTTGTCTTGTCTACCAGACAAACCAAACAAACTGTGAAACCCAACGAAATTCCGAGAAATTGTAGTGACACGCTCCGAAACATCCTTCCTTCAAAATTGTTTTCTTTCTTTTCTGAACTGAAAACGATCGGAGTTTTTTCTCTCTCACATTATGCCGAAAGACAGTTTAAATCCCTCCGAAAAGAGCTGACGAAAGCAGTAGCAGAAAAGCACGTTCCGAGAATTATGCAAAGCATCTCAATCATCCGATTCCACGGTCGGCTTGTCGGCCTTATTGACTCGTAATCCCCATCTCCCGGTGCTCTAACGCCTTATTTAGGCGGCTCAATCCAATTTTTTCAGGACCTGCCGAGAGCGGATCGTGGCCTAAGCGTCATCGGGACCAACCGGTGATACGCAAGCACCGCGCTGAGTGTCTTTCCTCGGAGGATTTCGGTGAAAGCACGAATGTCGTAGTACGCACCAAAAACCAGTAATAAGTCGCGAATTGAGTCATTAAGCCGCAAAGTATATTGCCGTGCTATGGAATAATGCCGTATGAACATTCGAGAGTTGCAAAATTTCCTCCGGTATAATGTTAAATTTTGAAGAGGGTTTTGAATATTTTCTCTTGAAATTTTCAGATGATTTAGATCTGATTGTGAATGAAATTCCCTGACGAATTGGAGGGAAAAGTTTCACCGATTTCCCTGAAAATACATATTTTACGAAAGGAAATTTGACAACGTCTAAAGACTCATACGAAGTTGTTCTTTATCACGGCAGTATAGTATTTTTGTCGGTTGAATTCACGCGATCCATCAATATTTAACCTCTTCAGTTGGATGTTCCTTTCTGGTTCTTCATAATTCTACTGTGATTTTATTCTTCCCTTTGTTCTTAGCATAGTTCATAGCATGGTCCATATGTTTCTTTTCCACGACCCTTAAAATTCTCTGTCATTAATAGAGCAGGAAATCTTTTTTACTGATTCTATTGATGAAATTTCCTTAAAAAATTGTGATACACGGTACAATTTAAATGAATGAAATTTGGATTTTTCTGTACGTTTCACTCCTCAGCCAAAGTGGCACTACACTGTAACTACTTGTTTTTCAATGTCTGATACATTTTGTGTAACAGGCTTTGTATTATTTCCTCGGTAAATTCTCTCGGTAAGAGACCGTGTCATTTTTTACTCAGGCCTCCGGTGGTTACCAACCGTCACATAATTGGCAGCAAGAACTCACAACTTATTTCCGGATGCAGCAATGAAAGAAATCACTCTCGATAGGTATTTTGATATAATCATAAGCGATGCCGCAAACAAAAGCACTTACTTGGATTTTCTTAAACATCACTCAAATCAATCATTCTTTTTCCCAAGAGATGACCTCGAACAAGTTTTGTATGAATTTTAGGTGATCTTGTTGAGTCACTTAATTGTTATTAAGCTTAGATCAGAGTTGCAACCGCCTGCTGAAGTGATGCCTCGTGTATCCGTGCACCTCCCAGCTCTGTTTTCCAAATTACTTTAATGTATAAATTGAATGAAAAAGCTCAGAAGAAACTTAATGAGTTCTGTCCCAAAGAATATTATTTTCTTTTTTCATTCGCTTTTTGAGTGAAGTATTTTTTTTCTGTGAATACAACTTCTCATGAAGTATCTGCGCTAGCGCGAGACTTCGTCTAAGTTAGGGGGTGAATGGAATGCTCGAGCAACACGCAGTTGACACCAAACTACAATTTAGTAGTTTCCTCTAGTTTAAGTTTTACGAATGTTGACTAGCCGTTGGAGTACTTAAGCGTACTAGCTTTCTTCTTGTGCAATACACTCTGTTATCGTAATTTTTTCCTAATTTTTAAGTTTTTTGTTCATTCGTTTATTTTTAGATAATAACCCTGTAGTTTTTGACACCTAGCTACCTTAATTAGTAAACCCGGTTATTTTTGGTTTCCTTTTTTTCTCTTTTTCCATGGACTTCAATTTATTGGGGAGTAATACCATTCAATGAAAGTTTCGATAAGACTTTCGAGCGGTTTTTTCTCATTTATCTTAAAATGATTCCAGTTCAATTTTTTAAATGTAAATTTGAATCGGTATAATCATTATACTTAAGCTCTTTATTTCTTTGTTTTCATAATTTCTCCTGTTGAATAGGCATAATACTGTTGGTGACTAAAGCATCATTCTAACACGTAAGCATAATAAAGAAACCAGATTTTCAAACGGTATCCTCCAGTAGAGGAGATTCGAAAACTCGTTCGATGGGTAATGAGTACTCTATTAACGTGGTAGCATTATTGTTAATCTTAGGTTGATTAAAAATCAATAGATCTCAGATATGATTTGTATATAAAAGTTCAGTATTAATGTAGGAGTAACTCAAGCCTCAGCTTGATGAAATGACCAAATGAAATGCTCAATAATAATTATTTAGTTCATTGATTTAGGAGAAGTTTCTTGCTTCACCCCGGTTTCATAGCTATTACTACTTAGGTACTTTGTTCATAAGCATTGTATGAAGTTCACGGGAACAATCAAAGCCTTGCTGAACTTACTGTACTTAGGGTTGCTTTCAATTTTTACGTTAGCTTCACTTTATTCTAAGGAGTATCCTCTTTCTCTCAAATTGTCTTAATTCATTCAACGTATCTTACTAATAGTATGTTCCCGAACATTGGTCAAATAACGATTTTTTTTTTTAAAATTAATTGTCAACTTGCACTTCATATGTTTTAAGAAGCTTCCTAAGAGATCCGAAAGAGCAAAGTCTTCCTTTTATTGGGATTTGCTTCACCTTTTAGTCATCTAAACGTTATGTTAGGGAGGCATTAACTCGTTCTACAACAAATTGATTTTGTTGTAGATTTCTGTTGCAGTCTCCTTGTTTCAATCTAATTTATTGACTTTAGATTTGACGGAAAAATCTTCAGTATGATTTGATTTTATCTAATTTTTGTTGTCAAACATATTTTCTCTTTTCTGTAATCATTATCTAAATGTTTCGTCTGAATTGATTTTGAATTTGGAATCTTATTATCATAAAATTTTTTTTCAGTCACTGATATACTTCTGCATGGTTTTAAAAGAAAGTACTTGGTCTTATTTAAAAAATTCAACCAAGTTAAAGACTGACGCTGTCGAATGTCACATCTTCGTTTGCAGTCAGTTTATCGGTCGTATGTTTATCTTTTGAGCTACTACCTCAGAATTTTATTATTTACGTAGGTACGTTTTTTTGTTTTATTTAGACGATTTGTTACAACTCTTAGCAACATCCACTCGAATCATCGAGCGATCTAAGGGAATAACGATCAGATAAGTGCTTTTGTTTGTGGTGAATCTAAAAACTACTACAACTTTCATTTGGTGACTTAGAGGACCCCAGAGAAGTTGAGACTATAATTAAATTACTGAGTAAATAATTTAATTATCAGCAAAGACTTTAGATTCTAATTTTAATGACGTTTGTAGTTAATTTATACGTAAATGTTTGTCTTTTATTATTTTGTTTCTGTTTTTTTTTTTCTCATTTTAAGTTTTGAATTAGTACTTTACCTTTGATGCTGATAAACGTGTACATAGATTCATTTTCAATTTGAATTGGGTACCTAAATGATTGTCTAATGTAATAATTTATGTTCATAAATGTGTGCGTATGTGTTAATGATTATAAATATTCGTCTCAAGTATTATGATATTGTAAATATTTTGTGTATACACTTAGGCTTAAGGGGAATATCTCAACCTGTGTCCACCAAACTATCCTCGATTTTTTTCTCTTCATTTTGCTTGTTATTGTTGTTTTTTATTTTGCAAAATTTTAGTTTTTTATTTTACATTATTTATTTTCTTCCAAAAATTCAACATAATGCGCATAATGTTCAGTTCTTTTCTCAATATTATTTTTTCCCTTCTTCAAAGTTTCCATTAAAACTCATATGGGTCATCAATCGATAGTTTACACCCTCCCCTTCGCTCGGATTTTACAAAATAAAAATAAATAAATGATGGTAATTAGCAATTCTTCAATGATCAAGCATTGATTTTTATTGATTTTTCCATTACCTGTCAGAAATCGCAAAATAAATCAAAGATAGATCCTGTAGAGGCATACATTTCCTCCTGTTTGATGCGTGCTCCATAACGAGCAGGAAAAAAACGGACGTGTTTCTATCAAACGGAACCATGTGCATTAAGACATGAGCTCTGATACCCATAAGAATGCATGCATAACAGGGCTCACGTCATAATGCACATAGTTCTGTTTGATAGAAATACGTCAAAATAGTGTAAGTCATCAATCGAGTGCTTTTCCTTTGTAAATATTCGTATGACTAGTCCACCTGTTTGTCAAAGCCAGACTCGTTATTTTTGGAGCTTGGAGTTGGCTAACTTTGAGACCGCATACGCTTACCACATTCAATTTAAACAACTTGGACATTTCTTTGTATGTTCGACTTTAGGTGTTTAGTAGGTGTCAGATGCGCCTGTTTTGCAAATTTTTAGAGAACTAAAATGAAAGTATCCAAATTCAGACCTTTTCTTTTATTCCCTTTCAATTTAAGCCCCTCCACACCTACGGATCTTTAAGATCGCCACGCTATTATACCTCATGGATAAAGAAAATGAGCAATAGAATCATAAATAATTATGCACATCTTCGGAGACCAGAATAAATACCCGAAGGTCTTTTTTGAAACTTTCCTCACAGCGTAAACTAATTAATGAGACAGCAGCTCCAAAATTAACCGTTTCTCCTTTTGTCAAACTAAATGTCTCTTTCTGTAAGCCTTTGTGAATTTTGTACATGTCATTGCTACCGATGATAACCTATTTATGTTATAATTTGTAAAAGTAGCCGCATTAAACCTAAAATGAACTAGACGAGCATTTGCATCTATTCATCATACATAATTTCATCCACAATGTTTGTGAACTTTTGGATCACTTGCGGTTTTTTTCCTCAAAACTTAAGTTTCATTTCTCTGTTTTGAATTTTTTTAGAAAAAAAATCAATAAATTGGAGCCAACTACTTTTAAACTAATTTTCAACCAGTGAAACCCCTATTCCAAAAACACTACTTCTGTTGTAATACTATGGTGCAATACTTATAAAGTATTTAATTTTTTTCCGCTCTTTTTACCCCTCCTCTTGGGCGTGTTATAAACTCTGACAAGAAATCTGGCAATCGCGCTGAATGCCGCATTTGCTCAATTATTTATCATGTTTTTTTTTCAGTTTCACTGAGCTATATCCTATTTACTCAGTACAGTCAAATACACAAACGTCTCATTTATTTCCAAGTCAAACTCCACAAGGCGAGGAAAGAAAACGAGTTTTTTTTGCGATTTGAACTATTTTAAACTCATTGTCAGTAGTACTATTTTTGAGGAATCTGACTTTCAATCATGCCGATTGTTCGATTTGATTTTAATAAGAATGCAACATACAAATTTCAGCCCGTCAATATCAGATCACATTATTCTTTTGCAGTTTATTTCCCCAAATGGCATAGAAAGGACGACAAATTTGTAAAATGTTGAAACAGTGGTTGTTTCCAATTGAACGATCAAATAACATGCATCACTGACACTATAGAGG